CCTTCTTGAAAACAAAAACGAAAACAAAACAAAAAAAAAAAAAAGAAATAAACTTGGCCGGGCACAATGGCTCACGCCTGTCATCCCAGCACTTTGGGAGGCCAAGGCGGGGGGATCACAAGGTCAAGAGGTCGAGACCATCCTGGCCAACATGGTGAAACCCTGTCTCTACTAAAAATACAAAAATTAGCTGGGCGTGGTGGCGTTCACCTGTAGTCCCAGCTACTTGGGAGGCTGAGGCAGGAGAATCGCTTGAACCCGGAAGGCAGAGGTTGCAATGAGCTGAGATCACACCACTGCACTCCAGCCTGGTGACAGAGTGAGGACTCTGTCTCAAGAAAAAAATAAAAAGAAAAAAAGAAAGAAAGGAACCTTTATCTTAATAGTCAGAATTTTTAATTAATTATTTTAGAGACAGAGGCTCACTGTGCTGCCCAGGCTGCAGTACGGTGGCCACCCACTGGTACAATCATTGCACACTACCTGGACCTTCCGAGCTTAAGTGATCTTCACACCTCAGTCTCAGGAGCTGGGACTACAGGTGCTTGGCTTAGAATTTGTGAATAACCATGCAGACAACCAACCACAAAACCTTCTCATCAGCAATATCTGACTGGAAGTACGTCAAATATCTGATAAATGCCAGTGGCTACTAAGGATGGCTGATGCTGGTCACGTGGTAGCCCTCGTATAAAACAGAATTTTTTATAATAAAATTCTCTTTGTCAAATGTATATCAAATTACATTTGGTCACAAAATCAAAGCTTAAACAAGAAAGCACATTTCCAGTAACCCATCCTCAGTGGCTCCAGACACAACCTCAGTCTCCCAGCACAGCAAGGCAACAGTGTTTCACTTACTTCAACTCCTGAGAGCAGGTTTCCCTCACAAACTCCATCATCACCTGTTCCATCAGCTCTGCAGCCAGGCCCTGGCTCAGCTCAGTTAACGCCAGCTCTCTCTCCCGCTGCAACCTACAAGGAAGAGAATACACAACGGTAATGTTTCAAAATAAAAATAAGTGCTGCTTGTTTTACTCCCCGGCCGTGCAGACAGGGACTGAGCTGTGCTGCCTGAGCCAGAAGGCCACCCCGACTCCAGCTCCCAACACCACCTCCCTTCCCCTGCCTTTCCTGGCTGGGGAACGCCACTGCTCACAGGTAGGCATGGCCTGGGGACCTCGACCCACTCCCTGGGCTCAAGTGTATGAGGGCACTGAGAGGGTCAGCAGGGGTTGAATGGCAGCACAGTGGACAACAGCAAGGGCTTCCCAGCCAGGGTCCATTCTCTCCTGGTCCACACACATCTCCTGTCCTGCTGCATGGACACGACACACCGACCTTTCCTCTTCAGCCCGCTGCCTCTCCTGCTCTCTTCGTTCCCTTTCCTTAGTCACTTCTTCGGCTGCGATGTGCCTCAAAATGCCTGTGGTTGCAGCTGTTAACAAATCCTCCACAGCAGCATTAGAAACACTACACAGAGCAAAGAGGGTAGCATTCAAAATCGGAGTAAAAAAGCCATGTCAGTAAGTGTCTAAAGGAAAAAAAACACACAGCTTGAGTATCTCTAATCCAAAAATCTGAAATCCAAAATGCTCCAAAATCTGAAACTTTTTGAGCACAGCATGACATGCTTTTCAAAGGAAATGCTCACTGAATCATTTCAGAATTCAAATTTTTGGGTAGGACATACTCAACCGGTAGATATAATACAAATATTCCAAAATCGAAAAATATCTGTGATCTAAAACACTGTCGTCCCAGCACTTTGGATAAGGGATACGCAACCTATACGTGTTTGGCTGTCAGCATACAAATTAAGCCCACTGTTAGAAACACACCATCTACCAAAACAGACTTGTGAAGAAACAGAAAAATCTCAACAGTCCTGTAACTAGTAAGGAGACTTCCAAACAAAGGAAAGTATAAGACCAGAAAGTTTCACTGGTAAATTCTATTAAACACTTATGAAAAACTAACACCAATCTTTCTCAAACCCTTTCAAAAACTGAGGAGGAGGGAACATTTACTAACTCTTTTATGAGGCTAGCATTGCCCTAATACCAAAGACAGACCAAAGACACTAGAAGAAAGCTAGAGACTGGCCAAGCACGTGGCTCACACCTGTAATCCCAGCATTTTGGGAGGCCGAGGTGGGAGGACTGCTTGAACCCAGGAGTTCAAGACTAACCTGGGCAACACAGGGAGACCCTGTCCCTACAAAAAAATAAAAACTTAGCCAGGTATGGTGGCATGTGCCTGTGGTCCTAGTTACTTGGGAGGCTGAAGTGGGAGGATGGCTTCAGCCTAGAATATCAAGGCTGCAGCTAGCTGTGATTATGCTTCTGCACTCTGGGCTTGGCGACCAAGTAAGACCCTGGCTCAAAAAAAA